CGTGAGCCGCAGCCTGGCGATTACCTGGAGCCGGGGCCGCCTCTCTTTCCCCCTGGCGTCCGCAGAAGGAGAAGCAGCCGCCGGCGGAGGAAGATTCACGGGGAAGCGTCTCGAAGGCGGCCCGAGAGGTGAGCCTCATCTCCTTCCTTGCTCGAAAGACGGGGAGGGATGCTCTGCGACGCCAGCCGGGCTCAAGGGCACGCCCGCCGCAGCGCATCGCCTGCGAGCGCCTCTCAGCCCGGCCTGGCTGCCCGCAGGCTCCGAGCTGCGGCGCGCGGTGGGGGTGCGGTCAGCGGCAGCCTGAAACGCCCCGCCAGTCTCGCGACCACGGGTCGCTCTCTCGGCTTCGTCTCTCCTCCCCTCCGCTGCAGCCGGATCCGTGGGGGATTCGAGAAGGCGCTGGATCGCCTTTGCCTCCCCTCCCCTCCTGGTGGATGTCTTTACTAGAAAAAAAACCCGGAGGGCGAGAAGGAGCTTTTAGGGCTGTGATGCCTCAGCAGTGGATGATGATCTTTGCAGGAGGATGTGAGGACGATCATCAGCAAAAAGTGATTTTAGAAGCTTTGGCTGATGGTCCTTGGTCCGCAATGGCTGCTTCAACACATTGACCCATCATGTGATGCTGCATGCTCGTCGCTGAAAGGGCTGGGATTAGACTGGGTTCACACATTGGGCTAAGCAGTTTTTTTGTTTTAATTTGGCTTGGCGTGTTACGGGAGCTCATTAATTGGGGTCTGTAGACTGTGTTGTATGGTTTAATGGGCTGACCCCCCAGTTTTTCTTAAGGTACTAAACCAAGGTTAAACAAACCATGGTTAGTGTGATCTGTATGACTATGCATAGAAATCTTTTCCTGCCATCCCAGTGTCAAATCACATGGTGCCTCATAGTATAGTGTGAGGAATATAGAACTGGATTCATTGAAGCTTTACAAGCCTTTTCCAGCCTGGTCAAGCCTAGATATGTTGGAACTACAACTCCCATTATTGCTAGCCAATTTGGCCCCATTTCACTGGGGCTTCTAAGTACTGTAGCCCTAATACATCTGGAATGCACCAATTTGATAGAATGATGATAGCAAAACAAAAACAAAAAAAATGGTAGGGTTCACTTGAATCTAGAGTAAATTATAGGCCGTGTATAATTTAGATGATCAGTGGGTATTTTGAGACAATGAAATACTATAGCTGTTCATTATGCCCATTTAATTATGGTGTTAAATTCCTAGAGTGATTTTGACTGCTGATAGAACCAGTACCAGTTCCCCATACATCATCCATAATGTCAGATGAATTCTATCTGTCCCTTTCATTTACAAGAAGTATGACTTAGGTTTAAGGAGTCTAAATTGGTATAATATGATTATCTGATATACATACAAACATACATACATACATACATATTTGTGTTTTGTCTGACTCATCTGAAGAATCTTTACAGGACTGTCTTGGTTTAAGTTGGCTTCCTTTAAATAATAATAATAATAATAATAATAATAATAATAATAATACAGAAATAATAGGGAGGGACAGATTGAAACAAGATCCTTTGTTGTTATTTGCAAGCTCTGGATGTGATTTGAAATTATGAACAATAAAATTGTGGCTCATAAGCTGAAAGAAAACGTGTTACAGCCTCAGTAAACACAGTTGTTAAATTACCATTACAGCATTAATTCAGCAATTCTTCAGAGCCAAGCTTTTGTATTTTAAGATGCAGTCTTTGCTTTTACTACTGATGTATAATGATTGCAGTGTAAATTGAAGGTCGCAATCTTTGATATGCTATTTAATAACTGATTAGCTTTGTTAAAAGAAAAGGGTTTTTTTCTCTCTTTTTGTATCTGAATTGGCTTATGAGTTTCAGAACATTCCTATTTTATATCTGTAACTATCTACTTAAAAAGGATTTATGCTATTGTGTAAGTCTTGTATATTTTAGTCAATTTCTGGACTGATCTAACTGGGGATTCCCAGTGACATCCCTCTGTGGACAAATATCTGCAAAGCTTTTTCTTTTCTAATATATTCATAGCCATGCTTCTTGATTTGTATAATCGATAATATCAAATCAAATCATTGATAATATCAAATCAAATCATCTATTACAATCATAGATCAGCGTAGTAGATAAGATTTTATTTGTGTTTTCCTAGTCCCTCTATCTGTGCACTGACCCAAGGTCTCTGACCATCCCTGGAAGGGGTCATAGGTCAGTAGCAGAGCACACATGAGTCCACAGATATAATCCCTGGATCAGTTCCTGATCTGCCAGCACAATTTCTGTCTCTGTGTTAGAGGAGGCTTTTGCCTGAGTCACTGATCAGCTATTCTAATATTTTCACACATGGAATGTTCTTGATAACAGCGCTGAGAGTGTAGAAAGAGAACTCTTGCTTTTCTAAACAGTCCAAAAACAGCATTCATACTTTTGCAGCAGTAACATTTTGTGACAGATTAATCATCTTAGTTCCTGCTTCTCTCCTGTAAATCTGATGATGATGATAAATACTTTGAAAGGAAAAAAATAAGTGGAAGTAGATTGCATGCCATATGTTGCATTATTTTTGCATAATGCTCAGCTTCTCAGTGTTGTATTTCGAAGCAGTCAGTAAAAGGTTACTGAGATGTGATATTTTGATAGTGATGCTAGAAAGCTGAAGATGGTTAAGCTCCTACAAAAGTTTCAGCTCCTCCCCTCCCCTCCCCTTATGAACCTGCCAACTGGAACCATGTGCATAACAGTGAATGAGGATGGGCGTGCCTTTTTTTTTGAAACCTCATACAAAATGGTGGGTTAAAGGGTGGAACAGGTTACCACACAAACAATACAGTGGGCTTTTGTAATATAGAAGTTAAGTCCCTGACCATGTTATTATAGACCAGGGCCCCTCTCTCTATTTTTACAGAACAGTCTTTAGATATTATTATTAAACTGTTAATTCCAAAATAACTCTGAAATTGTTGCCCTAATGATTTACAGTATACCCTTGATTATTTTTTCCCATTTCTATTCTAAGGAATAGTGAAATGTGATATTAGTAATAGGATTACT